GGCTAGCAGAGCTCAGGTGGGAGCTCGGAGGGCCGCGGTGGCAAATAACGCCCGCTCCCGAGCGGCAAACCTCATTTCTCGGGAGTATTTATCGCAACCCCTCTGCCGAGCAGGCTGTCGCTTACCTGGTGGCAACCCTGCAAATTCGAGTCTCTTCCATACGATGAGTAGGAGCCCCTTTCCGTTTTACCTGTTAATTAAAAAACAAAGAGAAAAATACTTTTAACAGATTTAAACAGATACATACGGCTTCTCTGAGCGTTTTGGATGATGTTCACCACATTTTCCTAACGCTGTTTACGTATGTAAAATAGGCACTGCCGACTGCACGTAGGCAACAGAAAGGGATTAACGCTTCTTCACGCTGAGGATGGTGAGGATGCTCCACGCGCTTCCCGGAGCCGGGATCTAACGGGCTCCCACCGGCCGGCTGAAGGCGAGCAGAGCTCCTCAGCGCGTCCCAAGCACCCTCCCTGTCCCAGCGCCGCGCCGGGGACACGGCCAGCCCTCGGCAGCTCTGCGTAGGGCCACCTTCGCCCCGGAGCTGCTGGGGATGCGGCTCCCCGCTCCCTTTCCCCGGAGCGAATCCCCCCACGATCGAGGCGATGGGGGAATTCACACCTGGGAAAGGGACAGCGCCCAGGCATCCGCCGTTCGCCAGCAATGCTGGGACCTGACGGCGGCCCAGCGCCCGCCAAGCCTTTCTGCCAGCCCTAAGTACCCTTTTTTGTTTTTTTACTCCTCTTTTTTTTTCCCCCTGGAAGCCTTTAACACTCGGATCCAGCAGCCTGACGTGCAGCACCGGTTACGGTTATGCCATATTTACAAAGGAAAAGAAAGGTTCTTTCAGGTTTGAATGGCCGGGCTCGAGCGGAATCAAGAAGGGAAGAGGTGGTTTCTGCAAAGCATTAAGTCATGGCTGAGCAGCACCGCACCACGTGCTCCGGAGACAAAGAGCAGTCAAGAGGGCTGATACGAAACATATTGACACTAAAAGACCACCCTTACGGTGAGGATAATCACGGGAGGGGGGAGGTGTTACCTAACAGAACACAGTACAAATCACTCCTAAAATTAATTTTTTTATTATAGGCTGGGGCACAAAAGGCGCACCAGACAGTACCAGTGCGTCGGGAGCAGATG